CCATATGGCTACCACTCTCAACAGATGGTGTCTGTGTATTCACTAGAATATACAAGAGCCATGCAAATTTTGCCTTGCAATCATTCAGAATTCAAAACAAGAATTTTTGACTTAATTTCATTTCTATTAAGTTTAATCAATGGTAAAAAAATACAGTTTTATCACCTAATTCTAACGAGGGGACAAATGCCACAACTATATTAACAAATATATTTGCAAAATGCTATACTGAGAAAAGGATTTCAAAACAGAGACATTAGATACAAGATTGTCTTAATCTTAGAGTAAAATCTTTCTGTAACAATAGTTTTTCCTCTGTAAAAAGCCATTTGACTTTTAAACAGCCCACCAGTTCATCAGAGAATGCAGTCTGGACTATATTAAGAAAAAATGTGGAGTCCAAGGGATGTGAGAGTTTTTGTATACTTTGCAGCAAATTTTACTAGAAAGCATAGTTACATATTTTACCCAGTTTCAGTAGAAAATAAACTTATTAATTTTTTATAATTTCCTTAAAGCCAATATATAAACAACTCCAAGTTTTCTACTTGCTTTCAGAATCTGCTGGGCATTTCAGAATATCTATCAAAGGAACGCATGACTGAAACCTGACTAGACACTATTTCAGCTGAAAACTCTTTAAGGTCAATTCACTGTGTAAACACTTTCTGGAAAGCTCTTCTTGAGCTATGCTGGTATATCTATTGAAAATCATATCCTACTTTTCAGTCTAAACATTTTTCATGGCATTTCTTATCCACTTGAACAAATTTTAATTTCTATAGTTTTTCTAACTTGGTACTGTTTCTCACTTGATGCACTTATGGTAAAAATAACACATTCCTTTCTCAGTTGTTGTTACGTTTTCTGTTCTGAAGAACTTGTACCTGACTGTCGTTGGCTTTGCCAGTCATGAGTTCTCTGTCCCTATTTTCCTCAGAGTTCTCCTGTAGCAGGATCCACATCATTCCAACCAAATCACTACTTATTTTCCTGCACTGGCACCAATGCTCTGTGAAACTTGCCTAAATGCAGCCACTGCTCTTCAGAAGAGCAAATTACTGCAAAATTGGATAACGGTTTTACACGTTACAAAAATGCCTAATTTTTTTCTCATCATTATAATTCAGTGGAATGTAGTTATTCTTTATAGTAAAGTATTCAGTGCATCTGAAAGTTCTGTAGAACTGCAAAAGGAAGGTGAAGGTCACATCTCAAAGCCCAGCAAAATAATAGTATCTTATAATCATGTACAAGTTGCTGAGATACTTCTTTAAAAAAAAATGATCACAATTTAACTTATATATGAGTATAAAGGAGAGTACATAAACAAGAAGGGTAATGTATGGTACTGTGCTCTGGATTTGTGGCTCAGTGTAGACAACACATCAGCATTTTGCTTATTGCTGAATACAGCTGTACAGCACCGAGGCCATTTCTTTGTCCCACTTTTCCCTACCACCTTATGGGCTGGATGTGTGCAGGAAGCTGGGAGGGGGCACGGTTGACCGAAAATGACCAAGGGGATATTCCATGCCATACAAATGTGCTCAGCAATAAAAATTGGGGAAAGAAGGAGGAACGGGGGATGTTTGGGGCTGTGGCATTTCCCTAGCCCTGTAACCATTAAGTGTGTGGTGCCTGGCTTTCCAGGAAGTGGTTGGACTCTGTCTGTGCATGGGAAGCATTGAATGAATTCCGTGTTTTGCTTTGCTTACATATGTTGTTCCAGTTTATTAAAGTGTCTTTAGCTGAACCTAGGAGTTTTCTCATGTTGCCCTTCCAGATCTCTCCCCAACCACACTAAAGGCAGAGCAAGCCACCAGCTATACACACCTTGGCCAGGAACAACTCACCACAGTCACTAACATAATAATTGGCAGAGAAACAGTAGCCAGACAGTTAAAAAGAAGAGATCTCTAACTAAGAGTTGCAGAAACAGTTTCGATGTGCCGATTTAGCCAGACAATAACACTTTCTGCTTTATGAGCAGATCAGTAATTAAAAGTTGAGATATAGGTGAATTAAATAATAATTGCTCTTCTCGCTTTAATACATGTATTAGAGCTAAATAACTCCCATTTGGTATTGAAATGTCTCAGAATGTACAGGTGAATTCCAAGATCCAACAAAGCAGCATATGTCTGTGTAAGTATCCAGGCTATTTTCTAAAACTTGGGGAAAACAAGTTCGTAAGTTAGTTGAATATTAACAGACTTAATATTAAAAGGTATTATTTCAAGTATAATTGAAAAGTATGTTTTAACTTTTATTCTTGCAGTTCAAATGACATATTTATGTTTGTAAAAAAAAAAAAAATCAGAAAAGGAAAAGAATCCATTATATTTCCTTTTCTTCCTGTCAGGAAAAGTTTCTTACTTATTCTGAAGGTCTTAATTGTGAACACAGATGAGTATTAAGTTTTCTATGTTACTCTTTACTGCTTCTGATAGTGTTCTATATTTTATAGCCTTGAAATAAAATAATATCATTCAACCATTCATATCCTTAATCTGAAAAATTTACCTGAACAATTTACTTCGAGTATTATAGGAATGTGTGGATTAGATTCACACAGTAGTGTGGAGCCAGCAACGAGGAGTAGACAACACTTCATTCCCTTTTTAACCAGTCCTAAAACCCTTTTACTTTCCCCTAACCACCAACCAATTAACTTGCTGGCTCTGGGACAATGATCTCATAACCCCCTCTCACCTAACTCAGTCATTAAATAGGTTAGGGGAGTATTTCCCCTGTAACTTAATCCCCTAAGCATTTTCATTTTTTTTTCTGCCAGAGTAGACCGTATTTATTTTACTTCATATGCAACTGACAGTATTTTCTCTTTAATATGAAAAGGAAATATATCTCTCCAGTATCACTGTGAACTGATAAAAAATATTTTTGCCTGTACAGAAGTAACTGATCAGAGAAAGCTTTAGCATGTGCCAAAGAAGGGAAAGTTTTAGCATATGCCAAAGAAGGAGTGATTAAAATATTACGGCACTCCACTTTAGAAACTTGTGGTTCTGACACAGTTCAAGAATTGCCCTCGGTTTTGTTTAACTCATCTCAGGAGGCAAATAGTGGAAACAAAATAGGTCCATCATAAGTGGGAGGTCAAAATAATCACACACTCATTCAGCTTGAACCTTAACTCCTGAGCACAAGATGGGTGAAATTTATGCAGTTCTAGGAAGGATCATGGAGCATCACCTAAAGATAGTGGTCACCTGAGTCCCACTGCAAAAGCTTCCTTGAGTAGTCACAAGATCAGCTAGAATTGTCCTAGTCAGCAGGAAAATATGTGCAGACATACTTTAACTATGCTAAAAACTGGGTCACATTAAGACAAGCTGTGTTGGAGATACTGGTCACTATGGCAGATACTGGATCAGCAATTCTACTTAATGATCACAATTGGTTTAAACAATCTGTTCATCTGTAAAGTAGAGTGGTTAAAATAATAAATCCATGAGCTAATCATTAATGGCTTGCATTATGTCACTTCTAGATGAGAATTTCCATATCATGCAGAAGGGCAATGAATGGAGACATTTTCAAATTAGAAAGGATGACAACAATTAGGGCACTTATTAAATAAAAAAAAAAAAGGCAATAGTAGATGATATGACAAAAGCGTGAAATACAGAAAAGGACAGAGAAGGCATATACATGACCTCTTTCTAAACTCTATAAAGAAACCAAAAGCAAAAGAAAATATGTTTCAAGAGAACAGAGCAGATGAAATGTTCATATAAAAATTCACTCTACAAATCACGGCAATCCTCTAATCCATTTGGCTCATACAGATGACATCAACATGAAGAGAAGTTCAAGAACCAGTCTGATTCTGGGGCTTTCTATGACCATGTCACTTTTAATGAAGAAACAGCAATCAGGAGGAGAATCATCAAAGAAAAAAAAATTAGTACTGAATTTGTCTCTGCCATTTAACATAAAAATGAGACTACTGGGTACAGATCCAAAAGTCTGTGAAGTCTCACATTCTGCCTGGTAGTGGGTAACAGAGGACACTGAGGGGAGAAGTGAATAGCAAATTTCTGCCAGCATGATTTTTTTGTGCAATTGCACTAAAATTTTGGAAAGAATAATTTGTGTGGGAAAAAAATTAAACTTAACAAAATTAAGAAAGCAGATTAAAAATAGATGGTACAAATCTTTTATATATGAAATGAAGGAAGAAGTAAATGTTTAAGCCTAACTATTGGTGATAAATTGAAAAAATTATATAGAAAAACTAAAACATTTTTGGCATGCAAATTGACACACTTTTGAAATTGTCACTCCAGTTTCTAGGTAGAGAAACAATTCATTTTAAAAGATGAATGGTAGGACCATATCAGGTGTCATCAGGAGGGTTCAGAATTAATTGCAACATGAAAGTTCTCCAGTTTTCATAAGTGGGAAGTATTTTAGAAGAAAACCCAGTTTTTCCCCCTAAAATTTTCTGAATTTAGTAAGTTGCTGTTTCTGAATTTAAGCAATTCTGCAATAAATATATCTGCCTAAAAATCAAGAAGTTAAAAAAGTGATAAAATATTAAAATGATTTTCATTAATTAAAAACTATTAAGGAAACACTTTCTATTTCTAGCTACACTTGTCATGCCTCCAAATGAATTTAAGATAACTTGAAACTTGAGTAAACATCCCCTAAATTTTGTGCTGAAGTCTCCCTGATCAGAAGAGATTTGCAAAAGTTACTAATTTCTTTTTAGCATTATTTAATATCAACACATACTCGTATCTTCTGTCTCAGACAGGAAGAACACATTAGATTCCTGAAAATAGGAATCAAAAACCATCCGAGTACAGATTAAATACACTAGAAAAAAGTAGCTCCATTTTAATATTGCATATTTAAAAAGAAATGCAAAATATATTTTACAAATTTCACCCGTAAAATCCCTGTGTATTGACTACCATAAAGTCAAAAACATAAGAGGAATGCATGATTATTTGCCAAAATCCCATTACCTGTGTGCCAGCAGCACCCTGGAGGTCATCTGATTCAATCCCAAGTAACTTGGCAGCAAGTTTGACCAATCCCAGTTCCATTCAGTACTGGTTGACTGTTGATACACAGAAAGAAGTTAGTTAGTTATTAATCAGCATTAATGTGATCAGTACATTAAAGCTCCAGCTGTGATATACCAACCAAGAAGGAGGGGGTGTCTAGAACAAGGACTTAGAAAGATGACATCAATCAAGTCCACAGAAGAAGGTTTTTATTTCAGTAAGACAGTATTAGTGTATAAATCATTTAGGGATGTAGCCATTATTTATAAAAAGATAAATAATTTTTTTGATCCGTTATTCTTTCAACTATTAATGGAATTGTGCGCAACCACTTTGTCTGAGAGCTGACTCTTTGTCCAAAAAGCAAAATAATTCACAACTCTTGCTTTTTCTGCTGTCAGTGAAGAGTTTGTCATGGAAAACTCAGTATAGCTGGAATTCAAGATGTAACCTGTATCAAAATTAGAGTGAAGATTTAGTTTTGTAAGGCATTCCAATCACCAGATGGTTCTTATAAACAGCAGTACACTTACACAGTATGAACAAATATAACTCCATATTGTTTATTTAATAATAAAAACAATCCACAATAATAGTAGGCGGCCAAAAGGCCACACGTAACATTCTTTTGTTTACAAAACAGGAAGTCCTGTTGAATAATATTATTTTTCTTTGTCAGCAATAGTTAAGTAGTGACTAGAATTCCACATTCTTGTGAGGAAATAATTAAAAAATTACTGTTGTGATGTGGCAAATGATATTTCTAAACTGCAATTAACGGTAGCAAGTGGCTACATTTCTTTTTATGGACTCTTGATGGTTTGATCTTGAAATCAGCAAAGATTTGAGTTTCTCTGGACTAGCTCTGATAAGCTCCAATAAACGAAGCTGAAAGGAACTGAGGATTGGACATCTGGGATATTAAATTTATGGCCGTTCAAAGACATGTCGGAGTAACCAGAAGATACAGAGGGGATTAACGAAGATATGACAGCCTGAAAGTTGGAGACTCTCTGTCTAAGGAAGAATGGTAAGAGGACCAAAGAATGCAGATCAAATTAACCAATAAAGGAGAGAATTATGTAACTTAGAACCAAGAAACATAATTTCTTTGTCTCCTAAAATGTATAAATGCGTGAAAAGTCTTGAAAGGGACATAAGTAGCTGGAATGATTTGTTGCCTATCTCTGGCCAGAATAAAGTAATGCCTGGCTCACTAACACTTAAAAGGTAGTGTTAGTGGGTTTCATCTCTTCACAACGATTTTTCAAAACAGTGAAAATAAACCTAAATAACAGTAAAGTACAACTTGAAGTGCATCTTTGCCTTCTTACAGAGAGCACTTGGATCTTCCGGGAGAGCAGAATCAGGGCAATCCTCCCTATTCCTTCCATTTATTACTTTCCTTCTCCTTACTTAATTTACTTCCTAACCCTCATCTTTGACATGCACTTTAAAGTAAAGTAGAAAAACAAAGGTGAAATACAGAGCAGACACAGAAAACAAGGGTAGCTAAAGAAAGAACAAGAGAGTGTGAAAGTGGAAAGTGAATGAAGAAGAAATGGTGAACATCTGATAAACAAGAAATAAGGGTAAAAGAGTCCACTAAGAGAACAGGACAAGAAGAAGAAGAAGACAACAGAAAACAGGACACTGTTCTACACTCTACACTGAATTAAACACAGACAAATAAAAATGGAGGAAATACATCTGAAATCAAGAGGGATAAAAAGGAGTACACCCCGTAGCAACGATCATGGAAACAACAACAAAAATTTATAGGTAAACCAGATATCAGTTTTGTGGAAAAAATAAAGAATCGTTTTTTAAAAAGTCACTTCAAGAAAGAAAAATAATTTCTTTGTAACATTTGTTGATACTGTTGAGGAGTTGCATATCCTAGCTTATCAGACAATAGCGTAGCAGCAGCACTGACAGAGATTAGGGTGTCAGGACAAATAGATAAAACCAAGAGCAACAAGTTACTAGAACCAGATGGTGATTATTCAAGATTTCTACAGAAATGTAAGAATTACATGGTTAAATTGTTAACAGAAGTTACTCATTTCATAGAATCTGTTACTGAACTAGAGTGTCAGAAGGTAAGAAATTTACTTATTATTAACAAAAATGCTAGAGTTGATCTCAAAATAGTGGTTCAGTGGTTCTTGTTTCAGGAGCAGTAAAATTCATGATAAAACTATGATAAATACCTTGCTAAATTTGACACAATTGGGACAATTTCACAAAACTTTAGAAGAAAGTTAAGGAAACTTTCCTTTATGACCATTCAGGGCCACTCTGGCAGTTGCTCTACCACCATCAGAGACTTTGACAGCTGGGACTGAGACCACTTTGCAGTGGGCAATTTCAGTGAGTTGATGGGTTCCCAACTTGACCTCCCGTACACCCCATGCTCACACAGTCAATGTTTTCCATAGCTGTCTCAGACATCTGGCTCCTCTAAATAATTTTATCACAGTGCAAAAACAAAGTAACAGGTTGAGCTGGGTTCCTCCAAGGAGGGACTCTGAATAAAGGACTACATGGGATTTTATACTTTCACAGTCTAAGTGCTGGATAGCCCAGTGTATTCCAGCCAAGTGGAATGGCTCCTGTTGTCTCTCAATGTCCAGTCACCTGGCTGGTGCCACAGGTCCCCATGCCCTTTGTTATGCAAAGATACTGGGCCAGTTCATGACCTCTTGATTCTCACCATATCCCTCACCCAGAGCTCAATCTGCAGCTCCCACTGCAGCTCTACACTGAGTTACCTCCACTAAATGTATTCCTCATCTAAAAAGTCAACCACCCTGCTGTACAGTGATTTTGACATATACTAACAAACAATACATAGAATGTTTAGTAACGATTATCTTTTGGAAAGCTTTTGAATTATTTTAAGAAACCATTTATTGAGGAAGCTGAGAGTATATCTACACTGCGCAGTATAGACATGCTCCTATATAGTTATGTAATATATTTTATGTAATACATTTTACATATTATGACAGGTCGAATTCACAGTGTAACATACATTTCCTGTTTAGAGCTGAAGCACTAGGCAGTATTGCCATGTCTATTCCAACTGGCCCTTCTAAGAGAAAAGTTTTGAAAAGCAATACATAATTAATTAATTGACAAAATATGTTGCAAAACTAGTGGCTTGTTCTGCTCTAGAATTTATAAAAGGATAAAATGTAGACTGATGTTTTAGAAACATATCTACTTACAACAGACAAAGAAAATAAAACTCCTGAGCTTCATGGCAGTTGCCAACCAATAACAAATGAATTTAAGAACAAACACATCCTTTGAGAAGAATAATTGTTCCTTGCCTGTACTCTGGCATCTTCTGAAGGCACTGATAACAGCTGTCACAGGAAATCAGATTCTCAGCTATCCTGACCACTGCTATAAAAATGGACATTCCTACAACACTAAATAAATCCACAATTTTATGGTAAAGAGAATTAAACTATGTAATAACATTATTAAACTTTGCAGATAGAATTATAGAATAGAATCATAGAATGGTTGGGGCTGGAAGGGACCTAAAGATCATCCCCTGCCATGGACAGGGATACCTTTCACTGGACCAGGTTGTTCAGAGCTCCATTCAGCATGGCCTTGAACACTTCCGGGATGGGACATCCACAACCTTTCTGAGCAACCTGTTCCAGTGCCTCATCACCCTCACAGTGAAGAATTTCCTCCTAACATCTAATCTAAACCCACTCTCAGTTTGAAGCCATTCCGCCTTCTCCTGTCACTACATGCCCTTGTAAAAAGTCTCTCTTCATCTTTCATGCAGGCTCCCTTCAGATACTGGAAGGCTGCAATTAGGTCATCCTGAAGCCTTCTCTATTCCAATTCTCTCAGCCTCTCTTCATAGGAGAGGTGCTCCATGCCTCTAACAGTTTTGGAGGTCCTCCTCTGCATTCGCTCCAAGGTCAGTGTCCTTACTATGCTGAGGACCCCAGAGCTGGATGCGACACTTCAGGTGGGGTCTCACTAGAGGAGAGTAGAGGGGCAGAATTACCTCCATTGACCTGCTGGCTACACTTCTTTTGATGCAGCCCAGGATACAGTTGGCTTTCTAGGCTGAATATGAGGAAGCAATTCTTTACTGTGTGAGTAACCACACACTGGAGCATATTGCCCAGAAAGGTTGTAGAGTCTCCCTCAATGGAGATACTCAAGAACTGTCTGGATACAATCCCATGCAATGTGCTCTAGGATGACCCTGCTTGAGCAGGCAGGTGGAACCAGAAGACCCACTGTGATCCCTTCCAACCTTAACCATTCTGTGTTTCTTTCTGGTCCCTTCCAGCTCAAGCCCTTGTATGATTCTATTGATTCTAGGATTCTATAAAGCATGTTTCTCTGGAGTGAGAAGCCTTGTGGAATTAGTATTCATCTTCTTTTTCAGGATATTAACACTTTTATTGGAACATGACAACAATTAAGCATTCATTAAACAAGTAAGAGAAAAAAGTATATTTTACCACAATATAACTAGTGAAATAGCCCAAAATAGTCAAAACTGGGAAAGATTACACCGTGTATAAGCATACCTCTGCTAAAAAAGGATGCTTTTCTACCACAGATCTGTAAAGTGAATTTCACTCCACTGTAATATCATCTCTTTTCAAATATTTGAATTGAGGGCCAGAATCAAAATGACAGATGATGTATTAAGAACATATGAGAATTAACAGTATAAGATTTTTTAAGTGCTACCAGAAACTATATACCATCTTGTGTAATTAATTGGTCATGAGGTACTCTGGCAGAGATTTAGGCAACCAGATCTCTTTTCTGTTACATTGTTAGGAAACTAAATTCTATAAAGAAATTATAATTCTTTACATTACAACCACGATTTAAGAAAAAATGGAGAAATTGATGCTTTCATGTTTTTGTGTTTTACTGTTTTGTAAAATCTTTGTATTTCTAAAACATCCTTTACTTAACTGACAATCCTGTGAGAGACTCATCAGGAAAATTCTAAATGTGCATGTGGAGTTTTGCCATGACTTTTCAAAGGATGAAGACTAACCCTGTGTACCACTGCACATATGTAATAAAATATCATTGCTACTTATGGGCTTTCCTTCACTATACCGGACATAGAAGGTATAAGTAAATGCAAATTGCTCCTTCATGCAATAATTCTGATAAAAGAAAAGGACAATAATGGTTTTTTGAAGATCATGCTATTGTAGAAGGTATCCTCATTAGATTCCCAAGCAATAATATTCCTTTGCACTTCATCACATGCACGCATGTAATTAATTCCATTTTCATAAATTCAGTATCTGTCATTATCATAATCATAAGACTGACAGGTAAAAATTATGCTATAACCAAGGTTTCAGATTTTCACAAACCTGATTGAATATTTTTGCACAAGATTGTCTGTACACCTGGAAAGGGTTGAAGACAGGCTGCTCTTCTCTGCCCTTCAGTGTCAAAGGCAGGCATTGACTGGACATAACACCATCTTCAGAAGAATTCTCACAAGACAGCTGCTCCTTCAAATATTCCTTTTGGAACAAAAAGCAACCACAGAACAGTATAGGCGAAGTAGCATTCTATGTGAAATTAACCCACCTTTCAAGCATAACTTTACAGTATGCTTGATAAAAGCTCCTCTTAATACAGTAGGGAATAGGCAATTTCTTACAAATAGAAACCTTTCGAAGAGTATCACTATTTTATAGCAAACAAGAAATAACCTCCAAGAACATCCAACTGAAGCAAATCAGAATAATCTAAGCAACTGTTTGGAAATTGTCATCGAATTCTTTGTATAAGTTCGCATTTAATATATATATGTTAGTTGAAGTGAACAACAAATGTTTTTTATTACTTTCTAATAAACTTCTTGGACGAATTCAATAGTTACTACATGACTGTGAATCAATTGTTTGATGAACATGTTTTAACCAGTTACTTAAACACAGGAAATAAATACTCTCCCACTTCACTCTTCAAAGGTGTTTTTAACTATTTAAGCATTCAAATACTAGAAGTAATTTATTATTTACACGGCAGTTTTAGAAACTGTAGTGTAACAGATGCATGATTATTTTGGACACATTTTCTATTTTCTCTTCTTCGACTACTTCGTAAAGAAATCATCATTGCATGCCAATAGAGTGTTTTGATTAAATAGAACCATTTTATGAAGAGCTAGATAATGAAACATTTACTCATCTATATGCTGGAACAACTACAGTGATTTAACAGTTTATTGTTATTAAAATGAAGTCCGTAATGATAGGATTGCCATAACACTGAGCATATACTCCAGGTGAGTCCTCATTAAGATAGGAACAAATGCTCCTCTTCTTTGCAGTGCTGCTGAGACGAAAGAACCTGCCAAGGCACCCTGTGCTCCTCAGTGGGTCTTTCTAAATGAAGAATTTCATCATTCTTTTACACTTATCCAGCTGCGACCTGGCCTGAAAGGCACAAGTTCCCTTTCAATACACTCAGACTGTTTCTGTCCTGTTTTGGCACTAGGTAATGTTGTGAAACTAGCCAGAAAAAAGAAAGGTTTCATTCAGATAAACAAGTCCCACAATTTCTAATATGAATACAACGGGGGTCTAGGACTGGAAAAGCTCAAAGGCAAGAGAAAGAGAACTGCCTCTCTGTGCTGATTGCAGTCAAATTTCAGGACTTACCAAGACAATCACAAAATTGTCTTAGTGTATTTTAAACAAACAAATGAACAAAACCCCAAACAAAAAACCCCAAACAAACAGTAGAAGGAAAAAATCCGATTTTTTGCCTAAAACAACACCACAAACCAGCTATGAAAACACACCCTAAGTCTCTTACCTATATTTTTTAAGCCTTCAAAAATATCTGGGTTTTACCCATTTATTCACGACTTGATGCCATTAAAAAAGATTTTAGAGCCAAGGTGAAGGATGTTATTTAAAAGCTATTTCTAAAAATTCCTCATATTTTCATAAACATACTGGCTTCCACATACATATTTTCACAAAATCTGTAGACAGTACTAAAGCAACCCAACCCTCTGGATATCACAGAGCCAGCAGAAGCAAATTGTGTCAGTTTTTCAGAGGCGATACTGGAAATATCTGTCCATGCTTGCTAGGGTTTGAACAATTCAAGTGGTGTATAGTTCACCTCCCACTACAGGTTTTTTCTGTCTTTTGGATACTACAGATTTGCGTTTTCAGGAAGAGACTTGTTCACTAATGGTAAATATATTATTTTAAGACCTCCTTAGTATAGTACATATTGTATGCTCTGAAAGCGTCATGTTTCAAAAATGCAGAAACATTAAATCACACCTGTAAACATGTGAACTATATCCTCACTGCACTGACTGGGTATGAAACAAAGAGGACAGAATGTTTTTGAGCTGTCAAATAGTTTTCTCTTTGGCTGCCATTAGTAAAAAATGCTTTTAAAAATTATTATTATTTTTAATAAATACATGAAGGACTGTAGGCTGTTTTGAGTAGTATAGTACTTATTACAAATCATATAACATCATATCTCTATTTTAAAATACAGTTTCCAAGAATCCATATCCCTTTTTACCTGCTTTTCCAAGGATTATTATTAAGAAGACAATTTTCTGTCTTATCATTTTGTTCTCATGCACAATTACTAAGCAGTGGAGCATAAAGATCACTAAACTAATTTTAAGAACACAATCCCTTTACAGTTCAAGGAGTCTCTAAACAAAAGGGTGGACCTTTGAACAGATAATCAAGGCTGTTTCTTGGTAGTCAGGCATATTAAACATAAACTGTTTTGAAAAATAATATTGAAAACTGCGTTATCATAATACCATGCTAAGCATGAAAATGTTTTGTAATGGTTTCAAAGGCAATTCAAAGTAATACAATTAAGTCCTTCTGTGAGTCACTCTGGTCAGGATCTCTTCCTTTCTTTTTTTTTTTTTTTTTTTTTCCCCAAAATACAGTTTTTTCCAGTAAGAAGTGTTCTATAATTAAAAAAGCTCTTGCTGCAGAAATTCAAGGAGAGACACCTGGGATGTGGAAAGTCAGGCTGAAGTCCCTCTTCCACCAAATTCTCTCAGCTTCTTAGCTCCTATTAGAGCTGCTCCACTTTGTATAAATAACCAAATACTCACAGGAGTTGAATCTTGGATCAGGTCTCCAAAACCCAGTATGTGCATCCTATTCCTACAACTAGAGTACGATTCTATTTTAGACACTAAAAGTTACAGAATGCATTTTTACAGCAATTTCCACATGGTGAAACAACTCCAACAGGGGAAAAGGAAGGAGCTCCATGCTGGTAGCTAATGGTCTAGAGGTTTGGGGAGTTAGTTTGGATGTGGGAGATGCAGATTGAATTCCCCAATCTAAACCAGGAAGAAAAAAGATCTGAGCCTGCATATCCTGTCCCTAGGTGACTGCCCTAACTACTGGACTATATGGTATTTTTAGAGGTCTTGCTCATCATCTTTTCCTCACTCTGTTATACCTAAGAGTAATCCTGAATGTGCTCCAGGTGAAAAGGTTTTGTTTATTACAGTAATAATTTTCACTTCACTTCCCAAACCAGTTAATTGTTTGAGATGAAACTTGAAGATTCTGTACTGTATTAATGTTAGGCTGCCATGTCTACATACATGCTTACATTGCTTCTAATGTTTCCAAATGAAGATGCATAAAGATTGTTTTTAAGCCTATAGTTAGGAACTAAGCAGCTGATCTCATTTTCAGCAGCACAGTGCCAGTACTAAGATGTTCTGTATGGCATTCATATAGACATAATTGTCTAACTGGGGTTTTATGCTATCATTTTTTTAAAAAAAGAAAAATCCTGGTCTCTGCCTATATTTGCATTATTTTGCATTTTATTATAAACACTTCTGTACACCTGCAGTGGTCTTAACAGTACCTGCTTATGCATTCAAGGAGTACTAATTTAGTAATTAAAGCTAATAAACAGATCTTTCTTAATTAAGCTGTGTAGATCTGTGTTATCATACAATTTAAGCAAGCCTGTGTTTATTTCAGTGAATAAAATTAGAATGTTTTTGGTAAGTTGGGGCAATTTAGTACAGCCTTAGAAATAATGACATAATTCTTTCATGCTGCTAAAATTCCATGTGCAGAAAACAAACATGAATTTCTTGACTGTAACTTCAAAAACACTTCACCTGCACTGAGTTGTCTAGAGAAAGTAAGATTTCATCTGGATGTATTTACTTCCTCAGCAGAGTTACAGTGTTGGTTTGTTTTTTTAAATGAAAATAGTTAATTTATTATATTTAATTTTACTTTTTGTAACAGTCAATTTTTCAACACTTGCCTTTTTTTTTTTTTTTTTTTTTTTTTACTGCACTCAAACTCCTAAAATGTATCCGTGGTCTACAATATGAAACTAAAGGAAGTTTATGAGCCATACCACTGTCTAAGTACCTAAATAAAATCTATAGTGTTTCCTATAAAGTAATCTTTCCAGTAGAAATGCAGAAAATCTAAACTGAATGGATTCTATTACAATACAATACAGGATTTCATATTGACTTTAAGAACCATTATCACCTCCTTGACTAACCCTTAACTGCCAGCAGACGCTGCCCCAGGCCAGTACACACCTAATTGCTCGGTGAAAAGGCCATTTCCCTACCTCATTGAGCTGGATGATGTGATAAATTTGCCTCAGGTAGTCGCTGCCACCTGGTTTGTGGCAGATATCCAGGACCATCATGTTTATTTTCTGCTCAGTGAATCCAAGTGCAATACCTCCTTCCTCTAACGTTGCACCTTCTATTGTGTTTGAGGCACTAGAATACAGAAAAGATACGAACAGTCCTAAGTTAAATTTCTAAAAATCAAAACACTAATACAAACCCACTTAAACTACACGTTTAGAAAAACTTAAAAATACTTGGCTTGCACAAATGGTGATGCACATATATTCCATATACACACATAGTATACACTAAATAACATTATTCTAATTTTAATCGCTTTAATTGGAAAAATGAACACATAAAACATTCTTTACCCTAAAGATATACAAGTAGCAAATATTTTTTAGTTTTCTTTTCCACTAGAGAAGTATCTTTGCTACTAGAAATGGCATTTGCATTCGATCTTTTGTGCCTTTTTCTTTGCCTGTCGCTGCACATATTAAAGCCTAATTAACATGTCAGAAAGGTAGCCATTACCCTAAATATAGGTTAGAAGTTTTAAAGTGAAGTCTTTTTTTTCCCACTGGTATGTTGTTAACCATTTAAAAGGTACCTATTTGCCACTTGTTGAACTTTTTGCCCTATACTGTTCTTTGTTTTTCTTGTATTTCTGTGAAACTGACACCAAAATAAAATCTGAAGATGACATTCCCAAATACCTTCAAAATTGTGCATTCAAATCTCTGATCATTCCCAAACTGCTCTCTCTGCATAAAAGCATAAGATACCAGCATAGGATTGTTATTGACCAAGTCTATGAAAGAAGAAGTATGAAAACTATTTTTCCTCAAATACTAGAGCTGCAACACAGTTATTTGTTTGCACCTTGACCCATACGTGTCAAGAACTCGAAAGACCAACTGAAATATATTGTTCTTTCTACAGTCGTTATTAGAATAATTTAAAATAAATCAAAGAATTTTGTTGAAATAAAAAGAAAAAAATAGTATTTCACTGGTTTAGAAGTAAAACAAAACAAAAAAAATACCCACAACCCGAAACATTGCAGTTGCAGTTTACTATTGAAAGTGTGCCATAATTACAAAGTCAGTTCTGCGGAAAGTTGGTGTTTGATCTGTAGGGTCTCTGAAATGCTGCACAGCTGCTGGACATTAAAGCTGATATTGTTTCCACATACAGTTTCAGAATGTCCTACAGAGCAAATAGTTTCAAAATGTAAACTATACTTTTGTTCTTTGCTGAATGGAAGTAAGTGATACTCTGTTATTATGGTGTATTTTACAAAAAAAGCCTAAAAGAAATTGATCTTTAAAATTAAAGCACACTTAAAGGCTTTTATTTGATGCCATGTACAGATACAACATGAATTTCACGTCAAAAATCTTAGCGACTGACATTGAAAAAGCTGACAAAGGAGTGTATCAGTGCTAGCACCCAAACTGTATCCTTTACTGCCCATCACTGTGCAGGTGAAGCAGATGATTGGATTCAGTCAGCACTATGATTAATGACTTCCTCTCTGGATTTGGGACTGCCTATCAATCATGTCATTAGGAAGAATGTGCCCTGAAAGAGGCAGATCTCAGCCAAGGAATAACTGCATTCATCTTAATCTGTATATGCACCCAGCCAGCAAGGTCAGGGTCATCATGATGAAAAACAATAATCTTCAATTCGACAAATTACTTTGCACAGACAGACATTTCTTCTCAGGACATGTGTTCTTCAGAATCTAACCCGACTGTTTACAGCTCTGGTGCTACCATAAAATGAAAGTTATTTTAATAAATACTAATGCTTTCAGGGAGTACACAAAACAGGACATGTGTGCAACTACCACTTTCTGAACCTTTCAAGTAAGATTATTATTTTTGAGATTTTCTTAAAAATTAAATTTGTACTCCACAACGGAAGAACCTATACAAATTTAGACTTTTTCTCTAAGTAGCAGTCCTGATAACAACAACGTAAGATAAAATTAAGTAAGGATTTTCCTTATAAAAACTCAGTGCACTTTAAAGATGTTTCCACATCTGTGTAGGTGAATCTCAAATAAATTTTTAAAATTTATAGGTTTTGTTTTCTTTCACACACTGTATCTATTAGAAGTCTATAAGCATTTAAAAACACAAATGTATATAAGCATATACATACACCCACCCCCAAAAATCCTTTAATTAAAAGGTTACATAACACCAACTTAGATTTTCCAATATAGTCATTCAAAGAAATCACATGAACATCATAAGTCTCCCCTTGAAAGATTGTTTTTAGTTTAATATTTATGTCATCATTACTTACTTTAATTGACTATTTGAATTTCAGCTTCACTATATTAGCTTTAAAATAAGCACTCATAATAATATTTATCTATATATTGCATATCTCATCTTTTTATAAACTGGATCCTTTTTTTTCCCCAGATATTGACTAATAATACTTGAATAAAAAATGGAAAAATAACATTCATGTCAGACTTCTATTGCAGAATTGCAACTGAACTTGGGGGACTAAATTTCACAACTGCATCGAATAACTACTCATTTAAAGAGCAGGTAATGCATTCTTCATTACCTTAACCTTAAAATTAGCAGCCCTAGTCACAAAATAGTTCTCTCTTTGGTTGACACTGTACGCATATAGAAAACATTTTCCCGCGTTTCTTTTCCACAGTGTGATACCTAATGTACAACACAACATTTCTGCAGTCTGTTAGAAAATAAAGTAATATATTAACTTAAAATTCTCAGCTTTGGAAGAAGTGCTATATACTAAAGTTCTAGTTTTTAAATGTTATCCACAATATTGTCTTATCCTTTATATTTTTTAAGAACTACCTATTGTCTCAGTGACATTAGAAATTGTGTTATGGAACCTTTCTGTTAAATATCATTTTACACATTATCATTATGGGATTTTTACTGTACAGTTCTTTCAGTCACTGGCATCTGGTTTCAATCTTAATCGGTGGATTAGAGCATGTAAATTAGAATTAAATGGAAATGTAAATATAACAAAGGTCAATGTCAATGAGCATTTGTGTGACACTGTTACTGGTTAGTGCTACTCACATTAACTGACTACTCATAAAAATAGGATACTGCCCTTTAAAGCACTGAAGGAAAGCCTGCAATCACTGTATCTTTTGTTTGTAAGCACAAATCCAAAAGTTACTGTCAGGATAGCAGTGACCACAACCTTAAAGAATATTCACTGAGAAATGCAGCAATCTTACTTTCAGTAGCTACAAATTAATTCAGTAAGTCATGTAACTGCAATAAATCTCATTGGAATGCTGATGAATGGTATTTTTACAGAATGATACATGACTACAACATTAAAGCAGACTGGACTAGGAACATATTGACATGTACACAACTCCTTCAAAAATTCCTGTAAGGATTAAAACCACTCAGACCCTAATGTCAACCCAGAGGGAAAGACTGGTATTTTCTCAGAAAGCCACAGCAGGGTATTCTCCTTGTTCTGTTTTGATATAAACTATCTGCCCTCAGGGCTTGAATATGATTTTAGAATGAAGTATGCTTACTTTTTTTCTCACAAATGAACACTGAAAGCTTTTCATAGTCACTCTTAATTTATTCACCATAGCAAAACTGAATTACAAATATATTTAGCACCTGTTCACATTCTGAAAGATACAAAATTTGTATCTTTCCATACAAGAATTGTCCAGATTTCTCGATCATCATGAAAATATGAACTTTTGTAATACTATGAAAACACTGTTCTGGTGAAACAACCATGGTTTACTGTTTCAACAAGATGATTAAGTTACAAACACATGGCACAAAGACATCAATATTAAGAACTAATCTGCTTCATATAAGATCAGTGCTCATCTTTTTTTTTTTTTTTTTTTTAAATTAAACAATAGCCATAAATGTGCCAATAATCCAGTAAAATAAAGAACAAACAGCATTTGTTAAGTCCTATGTTCTTACCAGTCTGTGCTCAATTTTCTTGCCTTCAGCAACTGGTTTTCAATCCAGTTTGGTCTTTGCTGTTCAATGTTTTGTATAATCTTCTGGGTCACTTGCTTAGGACCACTTTTCTGTTTTCCCATAATACTTTCTAAGCACACACGAACTAAACCGAGTTTTTCTTTGCTCCATCTGTCAAGTGTTGCACCTGTTAAAAGTTCTGCAGTATTTCCATCCTCAAATATCCGACATATAATTAGAATCAAGTTCCAGACGAGCAGACCACCTTTCTTCAATTCAGCAAAGTTTCTTGACATTTTTCTCTCAGCCAGAAAAAAGAAGTACTTAATTGGGGGAGGCAAACATGCAATCACTGTAGGTAACTTGCTGATTACAATAGATACTGCCTGAGCTGCAAGCCTTGTGAAGCCTTAAAAATAGAAAAGATATGATTAACATTAACATTATAGTTCTATCACAGCATGCTTCTGAATGTTGTATGATAATTTCTAACTTTCTTTTGTACTGAAAATGGGTAAAAAGATTAAGTACTCAACAGTGTAGCTTGACTTCTATTATGGTTTCTGCACGTAAATCCCACAAAACCTAAACAATTACAAGAATTACAAGCAGAGAACCTAGAAAATTCAGAATTCAGACTGACTCTCTTAACAATTTGTCTTGCTCTACACAGTCATTGCAGTATAAATGAGAAAGACAACACCCAGATATTCTGAATGGTAAAAAGTTGTCTTCAGAACTGTAATACTTTTGCAACTTCATGACTGGAACATTGCACTCAGTGTTATATCAGGATATTACTTACATTTATAATCTTTTGTTTTCTATCATTCCTTCCTATGTTCAGCCCTAAAAAACTTCAGTTTATCAGCTTTCATATAAGCACTACATTTTAAAGACTCCAGATATTAAAAGTAGCTACAGAAATAACTACAGAAAATATGCTGCTCAAAACCCAAGACACATCCAAAATGAAAAAATATAGTAAAAGGTGATCCACAGCATGGAGTTAAGTAAAAGAAAACCACCAAAACAAAACCCAAACAATCCAAGAAAACCCCAACTCACTGCACCTGCATTCTAAACATTTTTTTAATTTAAAAAATCATATCACACAGAAAAATTAATTTGCCTTTAAGCCTGAGTCTTATGTCTCAGTTTGTATATCCATTCATGCTTAGCAATAACCTAAAATAGCCATACAAGTTGTAAACTAAAGTGAGAGTACAGTGAAAAGAAATGTATGGAAAGAAAGAATGCACTGATGCCCTGGTTTGGCCACAATCTACATATTCAAAAAACCATGCTAGGATATACTACAGTGATGCTACAGTATTGAAAATAGTCAGGTAATATTTTGGTGGCAATAATTTATGATTATATATGTTTTCAGAAGTTAGCCTTCTGAAATGACAGATGCTTTAGACACTCAAGGTTATAAAAATATATACCAGAAATCAGCTGTACATCTAATCACCATCCAAATATCTCCTCTTCTGTATATTGTTTCTTTTTTTCACTAACTGTTTCAACAACCAAGCAGTAGCATATTCTATAAAAGTTTCAGTGCTTTTTTTATTCAAACATAAATTGCTGTGTTGTATAGTTGGGATGAATAACAATCCTGATTGAGGAGATGATAATGAAAAGGTAAACTGCTTACAGCCATTGAGACCTAAGCATAGATATTATTTTTTCCTTGCCTTGAATCTTACCCTATTACTGCCAAATGCTAAAAACATGTTCAGTACTATAATTATCAGTACTATAATACTGATTATTTTCAAAACCTTGTTTGTATGTGTATGGTGTAAGCCTCAAGAAGAATAACTGAAATTTAACACAAAGTACTAAAAAAAACCCCAACCACCACAGGATTGGAATTGTTTTGTTCATTGTCGAACTACAACACTCATGAAATCTAACTGTCCAGTTCAGGCATTAAAGGGCTAAAAAGTTCTTATGACAAGTATAAATTTCACTTACATTTCCCAGATTCTTTTCTCTTCATTTCCCGAGGAGTGTAATTCCATTCCTTTGGAACTGTTTTCAGTAAACTTTCAGGAACTATTTGCTTGTGCTGGTAAGTTCCATAGTTTTCCGTTGCCTCCCATGAATGCATCAAAGAAATAATCTGTTTCACTACACCCTTGACTGAATTAATCAAAGTCAACTTCAAGCATCTGATAACTTCCGGCTCTGACTCACCACAACTGGAAACTTCAGAAGAAATAATTATTAAATATTCGATAAATGCAGTCATTTGTGTAAATGTGTTTCAGAAAGAAGTGTTTCAGAATTCTTATGGAATGAAAAATAACAACATCATGATTCATAATAAATTAGACCTTTTGGTGTGTTACAAATTTAAGAAAGAGTAAAAAGCAAAATAATATAGACATCTTGTACCATCTAAACAGAGTACTGACAAAAAATATTTCAATTTAGTTCTTTCCTCCCCATTTCTCCATCGATAGATTTACAAAAATTCAATTTAAACTGATTAATGTCTTCCCTTTTCTATGGAAAACATTTAATTACTTGTTAGGCATCAATGAGGAGAACAGATATACTTTTTTTTTCCTACTTCCTTGTTTTGAAGTATTAATGAAGTTGCCTTTATTAGATACCCAAACTGTTACACTAGAGTATTGCAAAGAAAGAAAAGGTATTTTGGAAACAAAAATACATACAAATAACAGTCATCAACAGAAACACAGCATGTCATCAGTGATTGCATGTTGAAAACAGACCATCCTAAATACACCTATTGACATTACAAGTATCAATCTTCTCCACATTCTTAATATCATAGCAAACTGCAGTTTATCCATTGCTATGGAGCTGCAGTCACCAGGAACAGTGCTGCAGAGCATATCAGAGATGTGTTTTGACATGTTAAATCCTTTACTCTTTTGTTTCTCTGTACTTTTTCCTGATCTAATAATGGCCTTTCTGGAAGCTCCCATGCAACATTTCTATTTTCCTTCAGCTTATACCTCAAACTTCTATTTTTTGCAGTCCTGTTTTGCTCTGAGGAATACCTGAGCACTTTTACCACCATTGTTTTCTATTTTGTGATACTCATAATACTATTTCTCCTCTTGCATTTTCCCATTTTCTTCCTTTCTTTTCCTCATTCCTCAGTATCACCCTTCTAAATCTCACCTCTCTTTTCTGGTTGAATACTACTTTTCCTTAGGGACAGTTTTAGTTGCTCTAATTGTTAGGGCAGCTCTCTCTCTTCATCGAAAATCCAGAGGCTCTCTGCCTGTTGACAGCAGAGTCTATATATATGCCCACCAGGGTATTTCTCCCTCAATGGGAGAAGGACTGCTTCCTTTTTGTTTTCTGCTCTCCTTCAATGCTGTCTTATTTTTAAATTATGGCAAAGGTCTGGAGTCCTTAAATGCACAGAGACAAAGAACCTTTACTGGTAGAGACCTAGAGAAATGTTCTGCAGACAGCCTGCTGGTAAGACAGACACTTAAGGTAATCAGACTCTTAATTGACCACACTTCTCCTAAATCTCTGTGTTATTCAAAACTTTCACCACTCCTAGCACGGTCTGATTGCATAGAACACTTCAATTACACTATAATTTTGAAATACCATCATTTGATCTGATTTGTAAAGGCAAAAAAAAAAAAAAATTCATTATATGTCTGAAAACCGGCAGGGTTAAACATCAGATTTTAAGTGCTTATTAACAAATTAAATACCTGTCATACTGTATAAGCAACTCCACAACTGCTCTTTTTCCATGTAGGTCTCAAAAGCAATGCCAAGAGATTTGGGTGATAAAGTGCAGTAAGACAATACAGTGAAGATTGTTTCAATCAGAGTAGGCTCTTTGTTATTTATCTGTTCTTGTTCTAAGAGAGAACTTTGTTCATCACGATTCAATGCTTCATGTCCTTCAAAATAAACAAAAACATGGTTCCAATAATTTCCAAATAATTCAAGTTCTCAATAATAGATAGCATTAATTAAAACAAACTGCAAACTAAATCTGAATAATGTTTTAAACAACAATAACATTACAGATACTAAAATCTGGTCTTCCTCCGCATAATGACAGTTGACTGTCTTCCTGAATTATGTGTAGCCATTAAAAAAACTCTCAGGCATGTTTTCAAGCTATGGAATATGCCTATTTAATTCAAATGAACTCAGTATATAATCAGAAATTATTTACTAAATATTAATCAGAATTAAACTATACTACTACTCTACTAATCACAGTCCAAAAGCTATTACTGCTTAACTCCTCTTACTGGTATGTTGGTCATAGGAAACAACAGAACTCTATTGAGTTATATAACATTTAAAAAAGTAGCAGCTGCATAGTCTTCCAAATGTGTCGGTTTTGTTTCTCCGAATAAAAGAGTTTGGCAAAACAAAATCTCAGCCCTGATAAGATAGAGAGTTTAAAGATAACTAGTGATTTTCACAGAGTTGAGTGTAATGGCTTATAAAACATGTATTTTCAAATGTAAATGATAATCACTAAAAGTAATCTCCTAGCTGAAAGATAACGAAGTGTTTAAAGCTCTTGGATTCAATGCGACTCAGTGGCTTTGACTTGTGCTAATGTCACAGACCTCAGCTTCCCACATATTTGTGGAATATCATTCTGATGTTAACAATCGTAACAAATGACAAAGCCAGAACCCATTAAGTACTTTTAATTTACATTTCTAGTTTGCAAAATTGGAGGTTTCTGTAAAAATTATTTAAATTAAATACTTCAAAATGTCATTGCTTTCTGCCAGTCTGGTTGTCCTTACCTGTAGCAACCTGTGCAGGAGAAAGATAGGAGAGACTGAGTTTCTAGACTGTGCTTTTTCTAGCATTCAAACAGCCTTCAAAATCTACCACAGTGGGGAATTGTTTCTTTCCACCTATCTTCAAGTGAATGACTTGAGAATGTTATAAAATTCAAAAATCTAATTTTACTCTTCTTTGAATTCCTACAACCTAATTCACACATTATTGTAAAGCATTCAATTTGGATAGTTTGCAACCTCAATGGAAATAGCCCAGAGCATGTAGAAATCTAAAAAAGGGATCAGTGATTTCATAACCAATAAGCTATGGTTTGTTTTTTTGTTTTCTTTTTCTGTTTTCTTTGTTTGTTTGTTTGTTTCCCAAGGCAGCAGACAGATCAGCAATATGACTTTTTTAATCAGGTGGTTTTTTTCCCTATAAGTTGAGTGAGCTGGCATATACTGCTTCCAATGCCTGATGCTTCAGAGTGAAGAAACAAATGGATTCCTCACAATTCACTCACAACCAGGTGTTGTAGTTTCAGTTAAATCGTAAGAATTTTCAGTGATGAATATTTCATACAACCAGGTAACTTGGAACATGGGAGACACCTCCCCATCCCAGCTGCCCCTGGTGTCTTGGAACCCACCGGAAAGTTGGGTCCCTGCAGTGGAGCATCCCGGGAACTTGGGAGACAGGAGATAAAACCTATAGGATATAACACCTACTTTGCCTCAGTATTCACCAGTAGGACAGATGGTCCTCAGGATAACTGGCCTGTGGAGCTGATAGACAGGGACAGGAAGCCAAATAGCCCCCCTGTGTTCCAGGAGGAAATAGTCAGTGACTTACTGAGCCACCTGGATCCACACAAGTCTATAGGAACAGATGGGATCAATCCTAGGGAGGATGAGGGAGCTGGCAAAAGAGCTTGCCAAGCCACTCTCCGTCATTTACCAACAGTCCTAGCTCTCTGGGGAGGTCCCAGATGACTGGAAGTTGGTGAATGTCACGCCGATCGACAAAAAGGGCTGCAAGGAGGACCCGAGAAACTACAGGCCTGTCAGCCTGACCTCAGTCTGGCAAGGTTATGGAGCAGATCATCCTGAGTGCAATCACACAGCACCTACAGGATGGACAAGGGATCAGATCCAGCCAACATGGCTTTAGGAGGGGCAGACCCTGTTTGACCAACCTGATCTCATTTTATGATCAGGTGACCCACCTGGTGGATGAGGGAAAGGCTGTGGATGTGTCTATCTGGACTTCAGCAAAGCCTTTGACACTGTCTCCCATAATATACTCCTGGAAAAGCTGCAGCCCATGGCTTGGACAGGGGCACTCTGTGCTGGGTCAGGAACTGGCTGGAGGGCCGGGCCCAGAGAGTGCTGGTGAATGGGGCTGCATCCAGCTGGCAGC